CTAGGATCCACAGGTGGCCCATGTTCGTGTCGATTTCGCCCGAATCCATGATGAGGATATCGCACTCAACCTTGGTTTTCCACCTTACCACCTTCCTCCACTTTCTCTTTTGTTCGCCTCTTGAAAGTCTCCAGCTTCCTCACTTCCATTCTCACCCCCCCTTACTCCTCGCCCTGCTTATTCTCCACATCCTCTCCCTCCCCATCCTTCTCATCATCATTTCCCTCCATGTCCTCCCCCTCCTCCACCTCCGACTCCTCATCCCCTCTCCTCCACGCTCATCCCTCATCCCCGGCATCCTGGTCATGATCATCCTGCCCCTGGTCCCCCATGTTACCTCCTTCTCATCCGTTCTCTCATCTGCGCTGTTCTCCTCTTCTCCTGCGTCGTTCTGCTCGCCCAGCTTATTCCTCCTCCTGCACCTAGTATTCCACCTCCTGTTCCTCCCTCCTCTTCGTCCTTCCCTATTATCCCCCTCCTCCTCCTTATCCTCTTCCTCGACTCCTCCCCATCCTCATCTACCGTCCTCCCTCAGCTCTCTTGCTCCTCCACATCCCTCCCCCTTGTCCTCCGTGCCACTCCCTCCTCATCACTCCTTCGTCTTCTCCTCATCCTCCTCCTACTCCTCCCTCTCCCTCTTTCTCTCCCTCCCTAGTGGTTCTTTGAAACGACGACCTCCACCGTTGGATCGGTGGTAGTTTTGCCAGTGGGGTCTCGCGTTAAGGACGTACGCGAGGCCTGCGACCCCCTTTTCCAGAGTTCCAGAGTTAAGAAGCACAAGGACTTTCTGGCTGGACAGTTTAGTTGGGGCTTCAGGTCCAACGCTTAAGCGTGTAAGCTGTGCTTGTTCTGATCTCGTCGGTGGACCCACTCCGACTCCCGCTCCATTCCGTTCCATCCCTCCGTCCCTCCTGCCTTCTCCCTGCTCCCCATCCTCACTCCGTTCTTTATCCCATCTTCCCCCCATCCTAGACTCTCGCGATCCATGCGACCCAGATCCGGCTGGCCAGGTTCAGCCCGAAGCGCGGAACAATCCGCCCGCTGCTAAACAGACTGGCTGATCGATTGAGGGAGTTTCTATGGAACTCGCGTCATCTTCAACCCCCGGCGCGCGAGCCGAGGCGCGTGCCACGGGGCGCGCTGGGCGTGTCCCGCAGGCCCCTCGCTCGAGGCATCCTCGCAAAGCCGATGCCTGGCGCGCGAGAAGGCCAGGCCCCACCGCGACCCCAGGGACTATTTCCAAGGCGCGCCGGGCGTGCCCCAGCAGGGCTCCCGCTCGCGAGACATCCTCGCAAAGTCGCTCCCTGGCGCGCGAGGAGGTCAGGCCCCGCGGAGCCACCAGGGATCATTTCCGGGGCGCGCGCCACGGGGCACCCAGGGCGTGTCCTAAAAAAGGGCTCTCGCTCGAGACATGGAGAATTTCCGGGGCGCGCGCCGACGCGCCCCGGGCGTGTCCCAGCCCAGGGCTCTCGCTCGAGGCATCCTCGCAACGTCGACCCCTGGCGCGCTGAGTCGCCGCATGCCCGACGCTGGGAGGCGGAGGAGGAGGAGGAGGAGGAGGAGGAGGAGGAGGAGAAGGAGGAGGAGGAGGAGGAGGAGGAGGAGGAGAAGAAGGACGAGGACGAGGAGGAGGACGAGGAGGAGGAGGAGGAAGAAGAGGAGGAAGAGGAGAACGAGGAAAGTTGGAGTTGGAGTTGGATGAGGAGGAGGAGGAGGAGGAGAAAGAGGGAGGAGGAGGAGGAGGAGGAAGAGGAGGATGGAGCTCATCTGAGCTGTAGCACATTCTCTCCCATGCGCTGGGGTGGTCGTGCTTGTAAGGCACATCGTTCGCGTCTGGCAGGCTCTGGCTCTCGCCCGAAACACCCTCGCAAGGCGCACGGGGAGGTCGGGCCCCCACCGCGCCCCAAGAGATCCTTTCCCAGAGCGCGCGCCGGGGCGCACTGGGCGTGCCCCACGAGGGCTCTCGCTCGAGACACCCTCGCAAACTCGATCCCCTGGCGCGCGAGGTCGTCGGGCCCCACCGCGCCCCCCCAAGAAACCATTTCCCGGAGCAGGCGCCGGGGCGCCCCGGGCGCGTCCCAGCAGGGCTCGCGCCCGAGACGCCCTCGCAAACTCGATCCACCGGCTCGCGCGAGAAGCTCAGGCCCCAGCGCGCCCCCCGAGAGAGACCAGTTCCGGGGCGTGCGCCGGGGCGCCCTGGGCGTGTCCCAGCAGGGCTCGCGCTCGAGACGTCCCCGCATGGCGCGCGAGGAGGTCAGGCCCCTCGCCTTCCTGCTCCACTGGCCATCCCTCGGACGTCCATTCCCTGTGTTTTTTGTCGGTTTTGTGCGTGGTTTCTTTCGCCAAATGACCAAGGATGCTCCTCGACGGTCCTCGCCGAAGGAAAAATGCACACGTCCGAGCGATGCCAAGTCCACGTTCGCCTGATCCTCGCCCGCCTGGCCCTCGTCCTTCGGATCCTCCCCCTCGCGAGCTTCGCCCGTCTGATCCGCGCGCGCTTTCTCCTCTCGCTTATCCTCATCTCGCCCAGGAGCGCAAGCTCCTTCATCTTTGTATATACAGATGCTCACGATCCACCGCAGAGCGGCCGGCTAGTATAACATCCTCCCCTCCTTCTTGCATCACTCCCTGTTATCATCTTGTCGCTACGCTCGTAGCTGGTGTCCTTACCCTCCTCCTCCTCCGTCTCCTCCTCCTCCTCCTCTTCCTCCCAGATTTCCCGAGCCGAGGGCATTCGCAACGAAATCTGGAAAGCAATCGATCTTCCCGTACTTTATTCGGTGGCGCGCCATCAGTTGGCGGCGGAGCTTTGCCGTCTCATTGCAACAATATGTGGGTCTTGAGCTCTCCAGACCCCGCCCCAGGTGCGAGATCCGCCGCGAGGCTCAGTTCGACCCCTTCCGATGCGAGCCTCAAGCAAGGCGGACGAGCTGCTGCAGTGAGGTTGCGCCTATAGCGTGCCAGGGTGACGGCCCCACGCGAAGCTAGGCGGTGGCGCCGAGGCGCCAGAATCAGAACCGACCTCTGCGGAACACGCACGTTTCCTCTCTACCTTGACATATGTACTTGAATGTCATTCACTATGGGTCCCCAGTCTGTGCGCTCGCGTAGCAGCTGCAGTGCCGCTGCGCAAGCGCAGCCGTCCACCTCCCGCGCGGCCAACAGCTGGGCCCAGTTCCTCCTCGACGAGCAGAGGCCCAGGACCTGCCACGGATGCACCAAAACCCTTTTTAGGACCCCTTCCCCCCAATAACACCAGGGAGCAAAAGCTCCCCTCCATGACCCCCCCCCCTCCCACTCTTGGGTCCACGATGTACGAGGACCCCCCCTTCTCCAAAACCCCTTTTCCCAGAACCCTCCAGGACCTGCGTGGACGGCCAGCAAAAATCCAGTAGGCGGTAGAGGGCCAGGGCGTGGAATACACTGAGGAACAGAGGCCCACTGACGAACAGAGGTCCAACAGGTGGTAGATAGCCAGAGGGCGGAAGGTACTACGGGCATCTCACGCGCGCACGCGTGCGCCCCCTCGTGGAGAAGCCCGCAAGACTCATCCCGGATTTCCTAAAAAGCGCAAATGTTCGGGCAAGACCACCCCACCCTCAAGGCCGTCCACCATGGGGGGGCAACTCCGACACAAGATCCACAGATCCGCGACGCCCCCGTTGGACCGCTGCGACTTCGTTCGCGGGCCCAGTGGAGAACTGCGAGGGGGCAGGTATTCTCAAATGGCGGCGGGCCTTCTCAGAAACGCTCTGGCCTTCTCAAAAGATTACACCAAAAAAACACCCCAATCAGTGGATGGTTTTCGCTGAGGAGATCCACCGGAACCCGGGAGCCCCGGAACACAAAACCCACCGAAATGGGCCCGGAACCCATAACCGTGAACCCGGGAACCCGGAACCGTGAACCCGGGAACCCAGGCTGCTACCAAAATCGTCGGGAAACTTTCGCCAGATCTTTCAACGTCCGCTAGGACCCCTTCAGCGCAAGCACCCCAAAAGTCCGATGTTTTTTTTGTTTTTCAATGCGGGGCTGCAGAAGCCTCGACCCACTCCCAAGGACTGGCTTTTCATCCCGAGTCGTTTGTTGACGGTCCTGGGGCCCGGCGAGGGCCCCTAGAAGCCACAAGCTTTATAAAAAAACACCTCCCTCTTGATTTGTTCAATGCGTTCGATGTCTGGGACTGGTTAGGAAGTTTTCCGGAAGCCAGGACCACGGGAGCGAGGTCGCCAGCGGGCTCGCAACCGCTGTCGCCGCCTGGGAGGCGCAGGCAGCCCAGCCTCGGCAGGGCCCGGGCTGGGCGGCCAGCCCCGGCGCAGCGCTCGAGCTCGCTCGGAGATTGTGCAAGGGATGGACGAGCACGACAGCCAGTCAGCATATACCCACCCCATGTAGAATGGCGCCTGCACGGGGCACTTGGCCGCGGGACACTCCACAGAGGCGCGTGCGCCCTGAGGGGCACGCACGGAGAGGTGAGAGACGAGAGAGGAGAGGAGAACTGCGGGTGTCGCCGCTGGCCTGGCCTAAGACATCTTCCACAGAGGTTCCCCCCAGCCGATTCTAGACGAGCGCGTTCCACTACTCGCAGAATGATTGCTCGCAAATGGCCTGGATCCGCCGGGGGGGATCCACGAGAAATTACATTGAAGCAGACATGTGCTCTTCGGACGTCTGCGATGAGGCACTTTGCGAGCAGTGGAACGCGCTCGCAACTCCAGAATAGGTCAAGAGAGGAACGGGTGGTCCAGGCCAAAGGCCAGTCTGGCAGCAGGGCAAGCAGCCCGCCGGACAAGTCGGGTGTCGCCGACGGTGGCGGCCTCGGCCATCTCCAGCAGCTCCACGAGGCCGACGGGCTTGCTTGCCAGTGAGTTTGCGACAAGAAACGTCACTCCAGCAACGTTGGACCCCTCCAGTCGCCATTATGCAATCACGGCCCTCCACGTCGCACAGAAGCAGCTTGGCTAGGGGCCCTCCTCTTCCTCATCCTTGCCCCCCTCAGTTGTCACTCCTCATCCCTTCCTTTGCCCCCCTTGGCTCCCTCCCATAGCCATATCCCTTCTCTTCCTTCCCGCATCGTCATAGACATTATCCACTTCATGTTGGTTCGACGGTCATTGCCCTCCTCCTCCTGACGCGGCAGAGACGGTCTTTCCAGCATCGCATGCCGGGAAGACCACCAATATTTAAGACGGAACCAGAACGACGATAACATCGGGTGAGGATACAGCGGGCGACTCGACGAAGAACGCGTAGAACATCTGTAGATCTACGAAACATCGATGAACTTGTTCGTAGATTCGACGGAGCAACACCAATTTTCAGGTAAATAAAACCTGTAGTCGATCTCCTGCTACTCGAGAACAAATCGTGAATCTCTCAAATCTGGCGGCTCTGGAAGATGTCTCGGGCGCCGCGGCCTTCTCAGAGCGTTCCGGAACGCGCCAGAACGGACTTATCCTTGTCCTGGCCCCGTGTGAACCACGCTCATCCCCCGAACGAGCGATCGTTCGAGCGATCCACGGCAATGACCGTCAGATGCCACTGCTCAGCGTGATGCGGCGGTGGCCCCCGGCGACACGCCATGCTTTGCAAGCTGATGCCGCGTCGCTCCGCTACGAAGGACGAGAAATCGGGGAAAGCTCGGCACGTTGGTGCTTGGGAACTGGGACGTGGTTAGCGTGTTTGAAGGGGCCCACAAACACACAAATAAATACACACAAATAAAAAGATCCCCCATATTCTCCGATATGTTCTGGGTTTTTGTCTTCCCCCCCACTTCCCATATTTTCCCATATTTTCCTGGGGATCGACGATTAATTGTGTCTGTGTGTTTCTTCCCCTCCTGAGTGTTGCATGCCCAAGCGCAATGGGCCAGAACTGGCGGCGCGACACGCTGAGCGAGAGCCCTTGACCGTACACGATCGGGCACCGACCAGTGAATTAGTGTCCTCTGGGCGGCGCCCAGAGGACACTAATTTGTTCCCCAGCGCATCCTTTGGAGAGGGGGGTCGGGGAAGCGAGAGTAAGAGGTGCGACGGTGGTCCTGCCGATGCGTTTTTCTATGTTTAACATGTTTGTATGTTTTTGCACGTTTCGACCAGCACCAACGCCCATTTGGCAAGATGAGAGCTGCGACGGGGTCGCCTAAGCCCTTCGGGGAAACCCTGTACTGGGCGCCAGACATTCCAGCCG